CCCCATGACTGCTGATTGCTCACACAAACTCCTCAAAAACATGACTACAAATCCTCTGCCTCATGCACAAAGTCACAGAACTGTCATGCTCCTTCACCCTCTCTTCTACACTCATTCATTACCCCCATAAACTGAATTTCCTTAATACAAACAAGTGTTTAATAGAGCATTTATTTCTCTCTTGCACACTACTGCAACACATTTACCCTACAAATAAAACCATTTCTATCCACAAAGTAACTCCAGCCTTTTCATCACCCTAAGCCCTTCTCACAGAGCTGTCCACTAGGAACTCATATGTATTTCTCCCACGTCCAACCTCACTCTGAAATAGTCATTTCAGTCACTTCAGCCCAGCATAAATTCTCCATCAAGGCACCAAAAACTGCTCCGACAATCCCAACTAGCAGGGAATTTGTGGTTGAAATGGGATTTCTTTCTGAGTATTAATCCATCTTCCCCGAGGGACATTTGCTTCCCTTCCCCTGGGCTGCAGACTCCCTGACCTCTGCTCATCCCTGCTTCTCACTGCCAGGGAGACTCACACATTCCCCCCCTTGCACAAATCCTTTCCTGCAACCCTGTCATCACCCTGCAGCACACTTCACTGGGAGATGAGCAGACAAGTCCAGCAAGATCTCATCTTTACAGGTGCTGCCCCATGCCTGTGTGTTCCCCTCCCTGATGCTCTTACATCTTTTCTCACACAACAAGGGAAGAAGCTTTTTTTTTAGCATCCCTGCAGATGTTCAGAAGCCTGCAGGGCTTTTCAGGTTTCACAGGGCTTCAAGATCACAGCACTCCTCAAAAATAAATGATGACTGTTTTTTTTTCCCCAGCCACCTGTAGGACTGCATACTGCTACAATGGGAGTATCAAGTGATGGCTGGGGAAAATATGGTGATTAAGGACAGCTCTCTCTGGTAAGCTGTGTCCCTTCCAGGTCCTCATGTACACCAGCTGTCTCTCTGTGGCCTTTCTGTACCCAGGACTCACTGGACTTGGAGCACACGTCACCTCAGCTAACTTTAGCTGCTGAAATGTTGGCACCCAAATACCTGCCTCATCTCCTTTTGTCACCAGATCGGCATCTCCCAAGGGCATCCATCCTGATAAAGGTGCTTATCACTGCAGCCAGGGGCAAACCTCTAGAAAGTTTCCCCCTGATTATTATAGATTATTTAGGATCATTGATCAGCTTCCCAGTGGTTAAAGCTAGAGGAGCCAGTCCCACTTTCTGTGTCTGTAACAATAAAAAGATGAATCCTGTTTTGCATTTGCATCATTTGCAATCAGGTTTTCAGGAGGGTGGAATGTGGTTCTGGCAAAAATGGATGAGATAGATGGAAAAGACAACCCTCATGTTACCAGATCTCTTTGGGACAATCTGTTCCTCAAAGCATAAAGGTTCAGGGGTCATTCTACAGAAATAACTTTTCCCTTAAAATAAAAAGACTTCCTCATGAACTAAGTTTAACAGAAAAAAGAGACACACAAACCCCCCTCTTTTCTATGAGTTGCAAACAACTTTCAATCACACCCAATCTGCTTTGAAAATTTCTAAGTATTGGATCAAATCCTGTGGGAATATACGTGTGAGCAACGTTAACATTTTACAGTAACTGCATTTACTCAGGGGGCCATATCCCACATTGAGGCCACATTAACTGACCTCCCAATGGAGACCCAACAGATTGTGACTGTGGAGAAGCAAGAGAAAACCAATGGGAAGACAGAACATGATTCTGGAGTGCAAAATAATGTTCTTAGACCATTATCACAACAGTAAATTCTAAGAGTCAGGAAAACCGAAGAAGTCTTTTTTCTACCACAAAAACCCTCTGGTTTTGAGTCTTCTTAGCACCTAAGACACATCTCCAAAGAAAGTTAAAACATTCCAAGCATGAAATTGTGCAATAAGACCTAAGAAAAATATTGGGAATTTGAGGTATTCCCATCAAAGATGCATTTTGAAAATGTTTAACGTTTTGTTTTGATACAAGTCTGTTTTCCTCTCCTTTATTTAACTAGAGTTTATCTTCTGCATGAAAATAAGAACCAGTTTCACCCTGGAATGCAGAAATGAGACACTTGGAGAATTTCAAAACTCACTGAAGCATTTTTTTTCAAACGTTGTACCATGATCTAGGGAGGTATTCTGATCTCTACCAGATGGCCTGAGCTCCACCAAAGCCAGGTTGCTGCAACAGGGAGCAGTACATTTGCCAGATCCAGCCCGTCGTGTACAAATAGCTTCAATGTTGACAGCTGCATTTTTGATGAAAAACATTGAATTGAAAAATTCCCAGGAAAATTTCTCTAGAGAATATCATCTCCCTTTGCTATGAGTTCTGGAAAGAAACCAAATAATTGCCCCAGACCCAAGCTCTGCATCTACCAATGTTTTCCCTAGGCCAGTTTTGTGTATAGTAGATAATGGGATATTCTTTGCAGAGATGAAGGGATGTTGTCTCAGGAGTACTGGTTTGACTTATGTTTCAGGAACTCAATACACATTTTTTCACACTTTAAATAAACATGATAAGAGCCCATAATTGCAAATTGTGCTGGAGGGAAAAAGTAAGAATTTGGGTGAATAAGACTACAGAGTAAGTAAATTTTTGGGGAAAAAAAATGCAGAAATAGATTAGTTTTAAATCCTACTGGGGTGAAAATATATTTGATGATTTTGAAATTGTGATGGGTGCTAGGATGCATCACTATTTTTGAGCACTACCAGTCTGGGGTTTGGGTTTGTTTGTTCTTTGTTTTGTTGGTGTTTTTTTGTTGTTTTTTTTAATTACAACTCATCTTTCTGCTGGATTTAGTTCATACCACCATGTCATGGGATCCCAGCTGAATAGTACCACAATGTCAAGGTATCTGTGCCCTCTGAGTGAAGTTATTGCAATTACCCCCTCCTCCTTTTACAGTGCAGGAATGTTAAGTACAGGGATGTTAGCAGGGAGCTGGGTCCCACCACCTACCACTTGCCCAAGGTCACGGTGGAAGTCATTCTCAGAAGCAAATGGTTTCAGCAGCCTGGGATTTCCCAGGCACCCAGGAGAGCTGCTGCAGTGTGCTCAGGGGCACACTGAGGGGCAGGGTAACATGTTCCCTTGCTCACATCGGTTTTGTGGTTCTCTGAGGGGGAAATTTTACTTTAAAAAGTAACAGGAAAAAAATTAAAGCTAACAAGAGAGTGTTCCAGAGGCATTCATCCCTGGTGTCAGCTCTGAGGAGCTGATGGCATGGATGGCAGTGGCATTCTGGCCAGTTTCCTCTTTGGCAATATGTCACATCTTGTGTCACGTCTCCCCACAAACACAGGTGATCATCATAGAGTCATAGCACGGTTTGGGTTGGAAGGGACCTTAATGATCATCTAGTTCCAACCCCCCTGCATGAGCAGGGACACCTCCCACTAGATCAGGTTGCTCAAGGTCTCATCCAACCTGCCCTTGAAGATCTCCAGGGATGGGGCATCCAACCTCCCTGGGCAACTGGTTCCAGCATCTCACCACCCTCACAGGAAAGAACTTTCTCCCAATGTCCAACCTATGTCTAACCTAATGCCCACCAGGACTCTGCTGTTGTTTGCCCAGTTTCTTGTAAAAGCAGGAAAGTATCTGGCTGCTTTAAACTAATCAATAAAATATAACTGATTGACACCCAGTCACTGCCTGGCCCAGTGCCCCATGAGAAAGACACCTGTGAGATGCTGCAAAGCTCCTCTTCTCTTCCCCAAGGGCAAAGCCTTTTCCCAGAGGACAATTCCTGAAGGACAATGCCCTGCAAAGAAATCCTGCCATGTCTTGCAATGTCTATCTGTCATGTGGTATTTACTGCACAAACACAATGGGAAAGCTGCTTCACAAGGTGCATTCATTGGTCCCTGACATTGCCTGTGGATGAGTGTGGTGCAGGAGAACTGTTGATCTTTAGATCTTTATTTGGTTTTTGAGTTTTTAAAAATCAAGTGGTCATTTTTTGATAATCCATTTCATTTCCATAAGAATATAGAATTTCTTTCTCCTTATTCTCTGACAAAATTCTTTTGAACTAAAAGAATCACTCTCAGCTCCCTGCTGTTCAGCATCATTTCACTTCACAGCTTTCAAACCTTGAGTGTTTCCTCAACATGGGCAGTTCCCTATCGATGGGGTGGTTCACTGAAAGGGCAACATGATGCCAGTTAGGCAGCTCAGAATTAGTCACCCCATATTCTCTCAAAACCTATTTCTGAAATGCCCTTGAAAACCTAATCTTGTTCTTACCCGTTTGAGAAAACCTCACCAAACCCTGCTGAGATCAGCAGTGAGTCTTTCCAAGGTATAATTCTCTGAAGGAGGAGTAAGAGAAGCCTCATGCCCTTTGAAGGAAACCCTAGGGCATAACCTGAAAGTAGCAGGTTTTTCAGGCAGTCTGGATTTTTGCCCAAGTTCCTTCCTGCCTTCCAAAACACACACCCAGGCACATGGGTCCTTTGCCATTCACTTGGGCTTTTCTGGAAGAACCAAAGGTGGTGTCACTGCTTCATTTTAAGGAATTCCCAGGCTGGTGTTGCCTACCAAAGCAATGCATTGAAGGTAGAGAGAAATGAAATCAACCCATCAAGCCCACTCCAAGCCTACAATATAGTTACTGGTCAGCCCTGAGTCCAGTCAAGCCTTCCTGGCACCTGCAGTCCCTCCTGCAGAGGAGCAGCACCCTTCCCACTCAGCACACCTTGGCAACTTTGGGGATCAGACAAACAAATCTGAGCATCCTCAGATAAACCAAAATTCTGCTCTGAACCTCTCTGTTTAGCAGAGCACCCAATTACTTTGCTCCCAGTCCTATTCTGCCTGTGGCAATTGCTTTTTGCTGCCCACTTTCTGCTCCAAACCAAGAGCTGCTTTTGGAGAAGGTCATCTCGAGCTCCACCACCACAACCACCACCCACCCAAGCCCCAGCAGCCCCACCTGCTTCCTCCCATGCCAAGGCAAAAGATACATACTTTGACAGAAGCTGGGTTAAATTCAACTTCTTTTTTGGGTTCTGGTTCTGCTGGTTTAGGTGCTGGTTTAGGTTCTTCCTTCTTAGGTTCAGCCTTCTTAGGTTCAGGCTTCTTTGGTGCCATGTTGGTTTGCTGATGGGCTGCTTTAGGAAAGGAGAGAAGGAGACAGAGAGGAAAGAGGTGGCTGCTGCAGGATAAATCACCACAGGCCTTTATCTCTGTCCAGTCTCTTGAAGTCACACATTGTGTCACTCTCAGACCTGTCACATGCCAGAGCTGACAATAGGGCCACTGCTATAAAAGGACAAGACATCTAGGGGGCTATTTTAGAGCCATGGGACAGGGCACCGTCGCAAATTAGCACTTAAATGGAAAGAGAGTTTGGGGATTTTAGGGCTGAGGCTGGCTCTGGGTCAAACATTTTTGGTGTGCTTGGGTATGCCTGTACGTGTACAAGGTTGGGTTACAATCCAGGTCTTATCCATGGGATTTTTCCTCCCCAGAGCCGTGCTGACACTTATTTTCCCAGCTCACTCTTTCAGGCTGGATGGCACCCCTGGCCTTTGTTGTGCCAGGGTTCATTAATAGACAAGCATAAAATTATATTTAGACATGAGGATGAGCCTATATTGGAGGTTCTCCATCAACATGTCAGCTGGCACAGGGGTGAATCCATGCCCCAGATCATACACCAGTCTTCTCCTGGGAAGGTATAAAGTACCAGTATTGCTTGCAGCAGAAAGCATCTAGCAAGCAGTGAATCACACACACATCTACACCCAAGGGCTCTGATAGCACTGTCTGTCTGTGAGTACATCCTCATGGCTGAGATTTTCCAGACCATTTTAGGGACTTGAATGCCAAATTCCCATTAAAATAACTAAGATAAAGGTGTCCAGTAGAAGCCTTTCTAATCCCAGCTTTACTTTGATTTAAATATCACCCCCTTCAAAGCAGAATGGAGTTAACCACTGTCAGATCTCTATTTGGTTAAGTCATTTTTCTAAATCAGGTCACCCTCTGTCACACTGTCACTTCCAAATTGCCTAGAATTTAGGTTTTTTCTCCAAAGAAATATCATGCCCTGTGAAAAAACAACCAGTCACCTAATCACAAAGTATGTGAAAGGGGATCCATGCTGACATTTCAAGTAAATATCAGTTGAATCATAAATATCTGGTTTTCTTACTTACTGTGAAATCCTGATTATCTACCATCCAGCCCCCTTTGAGACCTGTTTTTCGTAACACTGCTGTCAGGCTGACCCCCCCTGACTCCCTGCCTCTCTGCACTCCTCTATTCCCTGGGTGGCTTTGCTGGAAAAGGCTTGTGCTTTATGGCACCCAGCTGCTCCCAGAGCCTGGCACATCCCTCCCTGGCAGCACACAACCAGCTTTGGAGAGCAACGTGAATACTATGCACAAAACTGACCACCTCTGTTAAGCTGCTGTCTCCACCATGGCTTCAGCAAGTGAAAATGGTTGGGAATCATGGGATCATATCACTGTTTTGATTGGAAAAGCCCTTTAGGACCACCAAGTCCAACTGTTAACTGAGCACTGCCAAGTCCACTGCTAAACCATGTCCCCAAGCATCATGTCTGCATGTCTTTAAAACCCCTCCAGGGATGGGGACTCTACCACTGCCCTGTGCATGACAACCCTCTCAGAGAAGACTTTTTCCTAATACCCAATCTAAGCATCCCTGGCATGACTTGAGGCTATTTCCTTTGGTTCTATTGCTTGTTACTTAGGAGAAGAGACCAACACCCATATTGCTACAACCTCCTTCCATGTAGTTGTAGAAAGCTTGTAGAGAAACCTGGAGAGAGTTGTAGAGAATCCTAGAGAGCCTGGAGAAGGGATGGAGAAGGGCTGATCTTTGTGTCTGTACATTGTAGCATGCAGATCCTTATCTTACCTGAATCAGAAACTACTTTCTGATTATAGGTTGGAGGCAATGCCACAATAAATACGTTCACTGCAACAGCCTGATTGCCACAGTAAAGTTAATTTGTGCTTTTTGGATAATGGGAAGCAAAGTTCACTCCCCTAATCAAAGAGGACACTTCAGGAACACTGTCTGTAACAGGAGCCATGAGCTGCTCCTGACCAAGCTGGTGAGATATTTTGGTGTTTCAGGATTTAAGGGACTGCCTGGAGAACTGCATTTTGCCCAGCTTCTCACCTTCCAGGAAACTCAATTCTGGTCCTCTCCACAGAGTTGGTGGTAGAGAAAGGATGTGTCTTCATGAGAAGTGGTGTGGAGATCTGTCCACTCACTCTTACCAGACCAGACTCTAGTCCTCTTTAGTTGCCACTGTCACAGATCCTCTCTGATGGAGCCCACCAGTCCCAATCCATGTGGTCACCTGAGGCACAAGTTTCTCACAGCAACATGGCAACATACTGATCTACTCACTATGGCCAGTGCAGTGAGGGGACCAGTTTCCATAAGGTAGAAACATGTCCCATACATGTCTCAAATACCAGAGGGTATCAGAAATTAATCTAGACACACTAATATAGGCAAATTAATCCCATACCCTGTGAATTATTAAACTGCAGGACATGCACACAGCTCTGGAGAGACCATGGAAGGCAGAAGCATCTCAACTCACACCAGAAACTTGAATTTAAGCAACTGAATGAAGCCCCAGCTGAAAGTGATGCATCCTCCTCACACTGAATGTATGGACTAGATCTCGTTGACTCTGATGGGAGCAGAGCCACACAGTTCACATAAAGATATTTACACTGTAGACATTTCAATTCAGTGAGATGAACCCAACCTGGGCTCAATTCCATCTTTTGAGATTGCTTCATATTGCAAAGCCCCAGGGGAAAGGTTTCCTGCAGGTTGCTATTTCTCATTTGCCCTGTTTCTGTCAAGAATGAAGCGTGGAAAGCATTTGATGTACCTTGTTGATCAGAAAAAGAAATCTCAGCAAACACTGACAACAGTAGATATTTCTGCAAAGAAATACCAGAAATCCTTCATTGTTTTCCTGCCCTGTAAAAAAGTTTTGCTGCGTTGATTTCTGCATTGAAATTAGTCATGGCTGGGGAATTATAAGAGCTTTCTACAGACCCAAAGAACTACCAGGGAGTCATTTCACCACGTTCCCCCACTACAGACTTCTTGATTGACACTGCAGGAGCCAACATAGACCCAGGAAATTCTGGATTCTGATAATTCAAAGCAGCAGAACTGCAGAGGAAATTAGTGTGTGCCCTGAGAGCAGCTGTAACCACCAGGGTAACATCTAAGCAGGCACCAGCCTAGACACAGAAGTGTGTTTTACCCAACGTTTGAAAGAGGCATCAAGTCTTACTCCTGAGCTGAAAAAAACACTGGAAAATATCAGGCAATTAAACTGTCAGCAGCAGCTCAACAACTGCTTGGGATCTTGTCACCTCCACCTCTGTAAGATAAGAAGAGACAGTAATAACCAGGAGGGTAGTATCTCACTTTCTCTTCTGAATTCCACAAATCAGTCATAGTTGTGGGGTTTCTTGGTGGGGTTTTGTCTTTTTCCTTCAGCTGTTATCTAATAAAAAGACATAAGAAACATAATAACAAAGGCAATCCAGAAAGGTGGCTGAAAGTTCAGCTCAGTCAGGTTCTCAGCCAAAATTCAATAATCGTATTGTCATACAAAGATTATCTCAATATCACAGAATCACAGAATGGTCTGGGTTGGAAGGAACATCTGGAGATCATCTAGTCCAACCCCCTGTTAGAGCAAGATCCTCTAGAGCATATTCCACAGGAACATGTCCAGTTTTTAATGTCTCCAGGGATGGAGACTCCACAACCTCCCTGGTCAGCATGTTCTGATTCTCTGTTACCCTCAGAGTAAAGAAGTATTTCCTTATATTTTTGTAAGTGGTCAGTTCAGCTTGGTAGGGAGGTTTCTGGCAATGCCAAAAAATCCCAGTTAAATACTTTGGGATTTTATTCAGTCTCCTACCTCTCTGTTCCTCTTCTAGACCAGTGGCACAGTCCCTCCTGCCTTCTGTTTGTTTTAACTCTCTAGTCCTGCCAATGACCAGAATAGCCCAGCAGATCAGCCCTTCCTCACAGCAAAAGGTGGCTCTTCACTTCTCTTTTGCATCACAACATGATTCCTACATATAACTGTGCTTATGTTTATATAAATATCCAGTGTCAAGGCAAACCAGGGAGGTGTTTAATGAGTTTTCAGTACCTGTAGGGCTGGCTAACCACTTCTGGGTCAATGTCTTGGATCAGTTCCATGGATTAAAGATGCACCAAAGCCCTGTAAATCCTTCTGCAAACAGCCAAATCTATGCAGCTAATCTTGCCCTAAGACCCCTGTTCATCTCTTCCATGAAGATCCCTAGAGTCTCAGCAGCTGGAAAAAAAAATAATATATATATATAAATGAAATCCCTGACCAAAAATTCTTCTTCCTATTAATAGGTTTTGAATGGCAGGGGATGAGGAGAGGGGAGTGCTGTTCAGTTGTCAGCCACGCTCACAGCAGATGCTAGAAACAGATCTCAGTGCCAACAAAGCTATTCCAGAGTCACCCTGGAGTCCCACATGAGCTAGCTGTGAATTTTCTAAAATTCACTTGATCATCAGTTAATAAGTCATAAATAACAATCCATCCGTTGATGAGTTTTTCCTGAGGGATTGACCAGGATCATCTTCAAAGAGAATGGAGATGATCAAGATTTTTTCCCATTGAAAAAAAAAAACTAGATTTAAGAACTAGAAAAAGAGAACATAAGTGAAAACAAAATATTTTGGCCAAAACTGGAATAGTTTGCATTTGGGAATATTGCCACAGTGACTTGTGATTCTGTGGTCCTTGATGAGTGGACCTCTCTTGGTTCAGTTTTACTGGAATTATGGAACAGCCCAAGTTGGAATGGATCTCTAAAGATCATCTGGTCCAACATTTGGTAGGATCAGTTTTCAGATATTTTGCTTCTCTACCAGAATAACATCCTTTTTCCCTCACAAGTAGGTTGGGTTTTGGGTTTTTTTTCCTGTTAAAAATAAAATTAATCTTTGAGTTGAAACTCCCATTCTCCCCTCAAAAACAACCATTGATGGAAACTCTCCAGACATCTTTAAATGAGAGGTTGAGACCACGTCAAAGATGTTCTCTCTCCAACCAAAAGTGGTTGTGCAACTTTCCCCCATAAGGAATGCTGTCCTTAAAGCTGTAAGATGGCCACA